GGCCCAAAAGCCTTACAATCTGAGTCCTTAGAGCCTAAGGGTGGGCCGGGTAGGCGTGAGGGGCTCAAGGCCGGGTCATGAGAGATCCCTAGACCCTAAACCCGAAAACCCTGAACCATACCCAAGGAATTCAGGACCACAGGGAGAACTCAGGATCATCAGCAACTGAAGGCAAGACTTCACCTCGAAACCCTAAAATTCGAATCATAAACCCGTAAACCAAACTTCTACACCCGAAAACTCCTAAACCCTCACACCCTAAAACACCTAAGACCTAAGCCGCTAATATAGGGGCTTAAATAATTACAAGTTTGGGGGGTTCCTTCTTATAATTATGGTATATTCTAACGATTAAGGCCCCAAAATCATAGAACCCTACTTTAGATCCCTTATAGTAACCCCTTTAAAGGACCCCTGTAAGGAACCCTCTTCGAATAAGCCGCTAAACCCCTACATGGCCCCTGGAGCCTCTATCTTCCGTCAGGCACATCGATCCGACTCTTCTGCTAAACGCGCAGCATGCAGAGCGATATCCTTCCACTACTGTAGACTCTGATTGGGGCTTAAGGGTCTTAGTCTTACGGTTTAGCGTTTGGGGTGGTTAGGGTTGTGGGTTGTTTGGTCTGGGGTGGAGGCCCTGATTGATAAACCTCTTCGGCACCTTGGTTCAAAGTAGGGTTATTAGGGTTTAGGGCTTAGGGGTTACTAGGGTGTTTCGAGAGTTCATTAATCTGGAATCTACAGAAATCAATCTCGTGCTACCAGCAAGCCGTTGAACGGAGGCCTCAGACACAAACACCGAAACGGCGTCAAATGCAACACAGCTGCAGCAGTTGGTGTGTAAGCTTGGAAGTATGCGGTCGAGGAAGCTGTTCAGGAGTACAGGCTGCTGAGAGGTTTAATGTCTTGGTCGCTTAATGGTTATGAAGGCTCGGAGTTCAGGGTTTCGCACCTTGGGTTTCAAGGTATGCGAACACTCATTATCCTAAACCTTAGACATGTAAATCTCTAAAGCCTGAAACCCTAAACCCTCTTCGGAGTGCCCTAGGGTCCATCCTGTAGCCGGTAGGGGCCAGCCTTTAAGCTTCGACTGAATGGCTGCAAGGGTTTAGGGTTTAGGGTCTGAGAGATTTAGGGTTGGAGGTTGGTCTGGGGGTTTGGGGAGATTTGGGGGTCATAAGTCTGGGTTGCGGGTTCAATATATTTCTAAGGTTTGAGCTCGTGGTTTTAGTATGCTTTGGTTTCGCAGCTCATCTATAGAGGCCTGATTACAACCCCCCCTCTCTTGCCAAGGATAAGACGGGGATCCGTTCATTATAAAGCCCTTGCAGAGGTGGAACTTGTGCACCAGCTTTGAATCACGATTCGAGGTATTGCTGCCTGCTGAGAGACTTGCTGCCATCTGTCCTCTATCGCGCCGAAGTCCCGTTCAACCAGCAGCTCAATTACACAAAACAAGTTGGGTCAGAGCAGTCCGTGACCCAAAGGACCAAGCGATCCTAAATAAGGACTAGCTTGCAAATAACCCTAAACCCCTTAACCCTAAACCCAACCCTAAAATCGTCAACCCCTAAACCCTAAACCCCTAAACCCCTGAACCGCTGAACCCCCAAAACCCTAAACCCTGAACCCCTAAACCCCTCAAATCGTCTTACTGTTTCCTTCGACCTTGGGAGTCCGGTTGCACCTTGAATACGCCTGCTGTAAGTCTAATTTGTCTTAAAGTATTTCAAACATTGTTTTGAATACAGAGCTAATTTATTTTTGTGTATTATTATATTTGTTTTTATGGACGTAGCTATATACCATATGCATCATCAACACGGTAGATATCACCTTTTGTTACAGCCCCCGTACAGTAACAGTCTATAATGGGGCTACCCTAAGGCCCCATAGTAATTCCTTTTTGGGATTGCCTTATAGGATTCTACCTGTGAACCACAAAAAGGAACAACTTTGGGGCCTATGGGTACTATGGAGGGCCTAATATAACTATATTCAATACGAATATTATCCAAATGTTACTGAGTGGGGGCCGTACCCAAACAATACGCCTGCTGTGGTCCCTTGGGAAAGCTGCCAATTCCGGCTCTCGACATGGAAAGAAGCTGCACAATGCGTCTGCCGAGGCGAAAATTTGCATTCCTGGCCAAGCGGAGCATTCGACACTGTTTGCCGTAGCGATACCTAGGAGTCCTATCTAGCATCTAGAGTATACGACCTTCCGTGGGTAACTACCGGTGGCGCATGCTCTTGCGAACAGGCGGAGCAGGAACCCCGAAACCTTGACATCTGCTCTCTGGTTTAGAGTTTCATGCCCGGGTGCCGGGCACATGCTTAGACCAAGGGCTACCAGATTTCTATGCGGAAATAGATATGTGATATGTGGAGGGTTTAGATTAGTGACTGAAGCTATACGAAGTCTGCAAAAGCTATTCCCTAAACCCTCAACCCTAAACTCTAAACCAGGACGATGCTCCTTTGTGGCTCACGTCCATGGCTATCCATGGCTGAAAAAACCGGCATTCCGGCCGTCGCGAACGCCCACATTCCGTTGCTAGGGTTCAGCATCTACCCAAAGGCCCCAAAGTGGTTCCTTTTCGGGGTTCATATATAGAATCCTATAAGGTAATCCCAAAAAGGAACTACTCTGGGGCCTATGGGTAGGGCCTATAGGGCTTCAGACTAAGCACTGTGAACCTCAATGAGTCGAAATCCTGCAAAACTCTGCATCAAACGTCTGACGCCCAAACCCTCTCCCCGAAAACTCTAACCCAAGGCCTTACACACTACGAACCCTTAATCGGGTTTAGGGTTTAGAAGGGGTTTTTGGGGGCTTAAGGGCCTTAAGCCCCCAAAAACCCCTTCTAGACCCTAAGCCCGTCAAACCTTCAACCATTTAACCTTTAGCGCGACGATCGCAGTCGGCCACGAGGCTCTCAGAGGGAGCGATACACTGGCCACAGTCGTTGTGCCCGAAGCAAACCACCTGGGCTTATGTCTCCTACACTCTAGACTCCTAGACGCTGAACCCTAAAGCCCGAAGCAAACCACCTGGGCTTATCGGATTGTGATTGTATAACGGTTTCGCGGAGTCTTGTATAAGTACTGCATGGATTTTTGCAAGGGCTTAGAGGATTTTGCAAGCATCCCATTACGGCTTGGCGAGTATCACAAATACCATACGGGTTGCCAAATCGGGTGTATAGGATTGTACAAGGATTTCTTATGACTTATAAAGGTTTGTAAGAAGGTGTATAGGATTCTGTATTGGTTTTGCAGGGCCTTATACGCTTCGCGAGCTGTGAAAGTGTTTGTAGGGTTCGGCAAGGGCTTTGCAAGGTCATCATAAGTACTATAATCAAACCTATAAGCGGTTTCGACGGGTTTTAAGAACTCTATACCGGTTTTACAGGATCTTATAAGCAATACAAGGGTCTTACATGGGCTTCTACGTATTTGAGGTGTTGATTCGGAAATGATTCCATCGAATTCTATGGCGGTGATGCAGCATCTTCAGTGAAAGTTATAAGGAAGGTTCTAAAGACTGATCTCGGTTTCGGGGGCCATGGGTCTAGCGGCGGTGGGATTTGAGGGACCGGGGCTTGTGCGGCTTTGAGTTTAAGGATTTGGGGCGCGTAGGGTTTAATCCTGCACCCCTGGTCCCTGACCCCTCAACCTTTAACCGTTTAGGGGTTTAGGGTTACGGTTTATTGGTGTAAGCTGGGTGTAGGGGTTTACGGCCAGGGAGGCAGAAGGCATGGGGTTGCGATCGGGGTTTCATGCTATTTCCGATTTGTGTAGGGCTTGCATAGGTCGGTGTTGCAGATGACGTGGGGCTCTTTTTGCTCAGGGCGGTGTCAAGCTGAGGACTTAATTGTTGTTGAGTGTAGACGTTGAGGACGTTCAGTTGTAGGTGCGGCAGCTGGTTGCTCCAGCACAAGGCTTACTACTAGGTTCACGTGCCTGTCTATCAGGTTCTCGGGCCAATCACACTCACAGTTACATGGACATGCTGGGCCCTGCTAGAATACTCTACACTAGTACACTAGGGTCATTCTTTCTGGCTCTTATATTAATCGGGATTGCAATAAGAATCCACAAAAAAAGAGCACGCGTTCAGGGTATAGGGGTTTAGGATTTAAAACCCTGGGACACAACAAACAACATATCCAGCGGAACAAGGTCTTCGAATCCAATACCTCACACGTTTCCCACATCAGCAGCAACGCGTGAGTTGGAACAAATGGTAGTGTGGAATGTCACATGCAATGAAGTCGCAAACCCTACACGCCGCACAAAGCCAATCTAGAACTGAGTTGTCGCTTAAGCCTTTTGAAAATTATTTACCATTATGGTTCTCTACAGAATAGTTAGGGAAATTAAAAAAGATCCCAAAGTGACAAACAGAGAGAATGGCAGGCACTGAAGCCCCGCCCTACGAAACCCAAGGCCCCAAAATTGCCCTCTACCAGCCACCTGAACACGCTGCCCAAATCCTGTACTCAACCCATCTTCATGCATTCTCGTAACTCCGAGTTGTATATGCCCAAACCCCAATGGTCCAGCTAATATTGAGTTGGGAAGTATCCCCCAGAACAGTACCTAGGTCACCCATAACCAGGAACCTTTGGGAGAGTAATGTAGGAACCTGATTAGGAAACCCCGGGTCTATAACCCCCCGAAATCAAAGGATTCGTATAAGCAACCCTAACAAAGGCCCAAGGTTTCTTGATCAGGTTCCTACATTACTATAGTACCCTTATAGATCCCTTATCGTAACCCTTGTAGACCCCTTTAAAGGAACCTTAATAAAGGCCCAAGGTTTCTTAATGAGGTACCTACATTATTATAGTACCCTTATAGATCCCTTGTAGTATCCCTTATAGACCCCTCTAAAGGCACTCTAATAAAGGCCCAAGGTTCATCAGCTTCCTACATTAAGGGCCATAATAACTAGGAACCTTTGCGATACCCTAAACCCTAAACCCTGAAACCGCTCATAACTGGGAACCTTTGGGAGAGCAAGGGCCCTGGAGCCGCACCTCCCCCGACTCCTTCACCGCGCAGACGTGGCAGGTCCCGGCAGCCACAGCCACGATGGGCCCAAGGTCAGGCGGTCGGTGCATGTCCTATAACACCAGGAAACCCCGAGAACACGTAGGACTTCGTTAAGAAATCCCCAGCGGTTCTGCAGATGGCCCCTCCTTGATTCATTGTGGATCCTCTTGTATTCGATCTTCTTGTCTTCAGTTGTCTATAGCTTACAAACTTTCCCTATTCCATGATGTGCTACGGTATCGTATAGGCTTACAGTATTGTTACAGGGCGGACACTTGCGCAGATTCGTCTAATCGTAGATACTTCTTTTCAGTTCATGTTGCACAAGATATTGAGGGGTGTGCTTGGGGCTGGGGAATCAGGATAAAGGGCTAGTCGAGCGAATCGGAACCAAACCAAAAGAGGGAGTAATAGCCCAAACATGATGGCTGTCTCCTCGAAGTCAATGCAGCCAAAGCAGACCAATTCTCCTGAGGCACAGTGCTATGGTTGCAGTAGCAGTAGGAGTAGCAGTAGTAGTAGTAGTAGTAGTAGCAGCAGCAGCAGGAGTAGTAGTAGTAGTAGTAGTAGTAGTAGTAGTAGTAGTAGTAGTAGTAGTAGTAGTAGTAGTAGTAGTAGTAGTAGTAGTGGTAGTGGTAGTAGTAGTAGTAGTAGTAGTAGTAGTAGTAGTAGTAGTAGTAGTAGTAGTAGTAGTAGTAGTAGTAGTAGTAGTAGAGTTGTGACCGCAGTAAGACACCTGTATTGTGGTAGTGGAGGAGTGGTGCTGGTGGTGGTGATGGTGGTGGTGGTGGTGGCGGCGGTGGTGGTGGGCTGGTGGGCTGGTGGTGCTGGTGATGGTGGCGATGGTGGCGATGGTAGCGATGGTGGTGGCGGTGCTGGTTGCGGTTGCGGTGGCGGTGGTGGTGGGGCTGATGTTGGTGGTGAAGAATACGAAGAGGAAGCAGCAAAGCGCTGTAAGACCCCGAAGAAGAAACGACCTGGTGATGAAGACGAAGATACTTGCTGAAGATATCTGAAGATGCTCCTGCTCATGATGATAACACTGATGGCGCGGGCGTTGGGATTTGTTGATATTACTTGCATCAACTGGTCAGAGGCCATAGGAGCAATGAAAGAGAATCAGCCAGTAAGAGCAATCGAAGCCTCGAAACCGGCTGTCCTGTGGCTCGCACCGCACACGTGTAGAGAAGCCGGGCAGCCACCGCCACCACTGGGCCCAAGTCCGGGGGCGAATCGCACTGGCCTAGGATGTTGCCTCCGAAGGAGACGAGGTCCGCGGAAGCCGTTACGGCCTGCAGGAATCAGAGTTATGGCCTTCCCTGACCCTTGACATAGTTTTTGTAAGGTCCTTACGGGCTTCATGGGTCTATATATATACCAATAACCTCCAAAACAACAGGTTATGGTAGCTTAAGGTCAGGCCTACGACATCAAAACACCTCGCTCGAAACAAGCGCGCTCCTGCACAAAATACAACACAACCTAGACCCTCCATATACCCTCTATTAGACCCTAAATGCCCCTTATTTGGGACCATATACCCCTATTTGAGGGTACAAGGAGGGTCCTGGAAAGAAGCCGAGGAGCACAGGTGTGGTGACTTCCGGCAGCCACGGAAGACACTTGGCCCAGCCCTGGTGGTACATTGAGCTGGCCGAAGCCATTGTCTCCGAATGCTACGAGCTGCCCAGTGGCGGTGACGGCACAGGTGTGGGCGCCCCCTGCGGCGATGGAGACGATTGGACCGATGTCAGCAGGAACGTCGCACTGCCCAAGGCTGTTTTGGCCAAAGCAGACCAGGGTACCGTTGCTTTGCAGCGCACAGGTGTGCATACCTCCCGCTGCCACCGCAACGACTGGGCCAAGGTTGGTCGGCACGTCGCACTGTCCGAACTCGTTGTTTCCAAAGCACACCACTTCCCCACTGGCCTTGAGAACACAGGTGAAAGTTGCCGAAAATGGGGGGACCCTATAGTAGGATCCTGATTGTGAGGACCCCCAAAAAAAACATGTACCCCGAGCTTTAAGGACCCCTTGCAGTACCCTTAGAGTAACTTTGTTAAAGGAACCCTTAGGTACATTTTCGGAAACTTCCCCACTGGCCTTGAGAACACAGGTGTGTTCGGAGCCCGCAGCAACCGAGATCACGGGGCCAAGATTCGGTGGGACCTTACACTGGCCAAAGTCATTATGCCCGAAGCACACGAGCTCCTTGTTCCTTGTCACCACACAGGTGTGATGACCACCGGCAGCCACCGCGGAACGTGGCTGCCAGGACACCGCAAGAAAGGGCAGGATAGTGTCACTAGCCACCGCTTTGACCACTTCGGCGTGACTTGGGCGCACCTGATTTAAATTCGACAGAACCCAGCAGAAATGCCGAAGCTCCTTGTCGAGCACAAAGAAGCAGCGATCGGAAGCATGTACGAAAGGCATGTCGGACGACGATTCCTACCTACAAAGAGGCCTGTGCCGAAGATTCCTGATGCCCTGATAGTCGCTGAAGCTCCTTCCCAGAGGCTCCAATATCCCTTAATTAAGGAATATACCTTACATTATAGTAGGATCCTTAATATGATTTAAGGTATATTCCTTAATTAAGGGATATTGGGATCTCTGGGTTCCTCCCTCGACACGAAGCTCGAAATCAGAAGCAGAAACCCCGAACCACAACAAAGCTGACTAGACTTCGGCCGTGCACTTGAGATCAGAAGTGGCGCCAGATGCAGCCATGAACAGGTCTGGTTCGAGGGTCGGGGCCGAGGTATATTCAGATAAAAAGGCTGTGAAGGTCCGAGGTTCAGGGTTTAGGGTTTATAGGGTTTGGGGTTTTGGGGCTCAGGGTCTAGGGTTCAGGGTTTAGGGATCAAGTGTGTAAATATTCAAGCCGTAAGTGGCTTCGAGTACCTGTCTTGGTACTACCCTGATTTCTTTCGGCAGTCAAATCATGTTCCGAACTGTAAAGGTGCCCACCCTTGGAGCTTTGTCCCTTCCGACTTGCACACTCGCATGCAAATCATCGTCGCTGCTGTCAGGACATGAAACCCTAAACCAGTCTCCAGATAAGAAAGTTTCCGCAGGTAAATCCTGCACACAAGCTCTGAACGGACCTTGACAAGCCCTGAACCCCAGACTGCCCTAAACGCGTGCAACCTCATAGTCGTGAAAGTCTCATGACCAAGCTCCGGGCCAAGTCGACCCACCTTGCGGAGGTGTGGCAGCACAGTGACTACCTGGGCTTCTAGAGAACGGCCCTGGGAGGCGAGAGAGCTGCGGCCCTCAGTCCGGGGCAATCAACTCCGCCGTCACTGTGGATCATGACAACGATGATGCTGCTATGATGATGATGATGATGATGATGATGATGATGTCGTTGTTGTTGAGAACGACGCTGTTGGACTTTGATGTACGTGTGAAAACTGGGCAGGTTGATGACCGCCACCGGCAGCCCTGATTGTATTTGCTGATGTTTTGGTAGTTGCTGATGTTGTCGGTGTTTCAGTCGTGTGCCTGATGTTCCGCATCCTTATCTGTTGTATATAGCAGTTGCTTGATTGTCATTATTGCAGGACGGTGCCGTTTAGGCTCATGATGATGTTGACGACAATGGCGACGATGACGATGTTGCTCATGAATGAGATGATGGCGAACGACGAGGATGACGATGGCAGCGCTGTTGATGTAGATGCTGATTCTGGATTTGGTGCTGATGATGATACTGATGATGGTGATGATGATGATCCGATCGGTGAAGCTGCTCGCATCGGCGTGTGCGCTGGTCTTCTTGTATGCCGGTGTGTCGACAATTCTAATGTTACTGGTGGTGACGGTAGTGATAACGAAGCTAGCAGCGATGCTGCAAAATGATGTTATCCTTTGCCGTTCTAGGCGGTATGTCCTGCGCAAGACCGTCCCAAAGCCCAAGCATAGACCAAGCACTCTGAGAACTGAAAGCCAAAACCCTACTTCAAAATCCATGGCAGAACCCCAGTTCTGAGTTTCTTGTAGTGTTTGATAAAACAGGGCTTGCCCAAAGGCCCCAAAGTAGTTCCTTTTTGGGATTACCTTACAGGATGCTATATATGAGCCCCAAAAAGGAACTACTTTGGGGCCTCTGGGTGTAGTGTTTTATAAAGCACTCTGAGATCCTAGCCCAATAGAGCCGGACGTTCTTCACCGGATCGTTGGAGAGTCGCAGCATGGGCCGCATGAACAGATCCTCAGCCGCGGGCTGCTCAACTTTCGGCTTAGGGTTTAGGGTTTAGGGTTTAGGGTTCGGGAGTAGTTGACTGATTGAGCACGGGTTGGGTGGGGGGGAGGGGGGATTAGGGTTTTGGGTTCGAGATTTGGGCTGCAGGGCTCGTGTTTTGAGGCTTAGGGGCGGCTCAGGGCTTGGAATCGCTTGGGATTGGGGGCTCGGGCTTCAGTTCCTTCAATTAGGCATCTTGCGACTTGCTCTCGTTGGCCCATGCCGACTGCCCGAAAACCTGGAAAACTTCCACGGATGCCTGGCACATGCCCTGGCTCTATCTCCCTGCCAAGGACAGTAGCAGGTGCCTTGTGGCAACCCATCCTTGTCCACGAAACTGGCCAGCACCTCCACACCTTGCCAGGCTCCGGGGAGGCTGTCGTTTTCCACCGCCTGGTTGGCTGCCACCCAGAAGCCGTTGCTGATAAAGAACATGTACATGGCGACCGGGTCGGACTCGTCCGGGTGCCACTCCTTCTTCAGCACTGGATGGGCATTGACGAACTGGCCTGTGTGTCGCCAGGGTCCATGCAAGATGCGGCACTGATTCCTCAGATTTGCAAATTGCACACAGGTCATGCTTGCATGTCTGTCATGCGGTCTACACAGACATGCCATGCACAGGAGCCCGGATAGATGTGCTTGATGTAGGGTTTAGTGTTGAGGGTAGTCTCCCCATAGTCAAGACGAGTTGAGCAGCTCCTTGATGCTCCGGAAAGAAGCTCAAGGCCCAAGGCCGACAATAGGGGCCTGAACAATGAGAAATCCCGTTAATTAAATCCTCTTGAGCCCAAGCATAGAAACTACAATATGTTATATTGTTTGAAAATATCTTAGAATAGGACAACTGAGTGTGGGGTTAATTTAATTAGACTCAAATTCAACGTAACAGGACTATAGGAAGGCAATGCAGAAGCCTAGTCACGCTCCAATGCCAATAGACTCAATAGACCTCGTTCGCGGCTTAAACCCTGAACCCCGAGCCAGATTGCAGATTTCAGCATGGAAAGTCGAAGCATTTACAGAAAAGATCGCTCCCGGTAAAAATTCTGTTTTAAAGGCGAGGAATCAGCAGACAAGGGAGATCATGAAGCCCAAAAGCCTCACCATTAAAACCACCCAGACCTGGCATACATAAGCAAGCAGTCCAAGCCTTGACACCTGAACCTGACGCAATCCATCTAACGCTGCCAAACAAGCCTGAACCCTGACCCCTAAAGCCCCATATACGAAACCCGAAAACCTGGACCCTGAATACTAAACCCTAAACCCTAGACGCGTTAGACACCTGAATACCAGATACCAAACACTACATGCTAAACCTAAACAGCTAAAACCTAAATTCATACTGTCTTGGTTTCCCGGCTGAGAAGACGTGCAAAGGTGCTTCTCGAATAATGGCATCGCACATGCCTCGGCCAAGCAGAAGAAGCGACACAACGGTGAGGAGTCTTGAGGCTTATAGGGTTTGGGTGCAAGAGTATGGATGCTTAAAACTGCCGATTGCCGATTGCACGCTGATGCCTACCTGCCACACGCTATACTGTACCCTAAATTAACCCCAAACCCTAAACCCTAAGCCCCTAAACCCTAAACCCTAAACCTGAACCCTAAGCCTAAGCCCCTAAAGACTGAGCCAATCCTCAGCTCTGCTGCTCCGCACCTGCACAACTGGCAACCTTGCGCCATCTGGACCCCAGAGACTCCAATATCCCTTAATTAAGGAATATACCTTAAATCATATTAAGGATCCTACTATAATTTAAGGTATAATCCTTAATTAAGGGATATTGGAGTCTCTGGGACCCTCGAATCTGCTGGAATCCTCGAACCATTCCTACTAACTGAGATAGGATGGGGTTCCTTTAAAGGTTCCCTTCAGGGTTCCTTTAAACGGCATAAGGGTACAGAGAAGCCCTGTAAATTGCCGCGAAGGAGCGAATGAAGATCATCCGATTGCGGAAAATCCTTGGGGCTGCGGGAGGGGCGGACGGGCTACCGAGCTTCGCATACTGTAGGGGCCTTGATAGGGTTTTGGGGGGTTCCTTGTCACATGTATAGTTGAATTGTACCCCAAAACCTCAGATTGTTGAGGCCCCTACAATACAATTACAAGGGTCTGACAGCTGGGATATGGGGATTATTGAGCAGGGAACGGGAGCTCGCTAAGGGTGCTTTTGTCAGATTTTGGACAGGGTATAGGAGGCGTGCTCACGAGCCAGTATACGTGAAAGCAGAAATTAAGATCCCCTTTACTTGCGTTTCAGGTTTGTGAGGGCTTTGGCGGTTCTGCAGGTTCGGTGTTGTTGGCGAGAAACGGAATTCTGTGCACCTCAATGCGGTCACCCTTGACACTCTCAATCCAAGGGTAAAAGGAGGGACCCTTTATAAGGACCCCTAGGTATATACCCTTAGTATAGCTGTTATATACCCATTATATAGCCCATTATAGGGTAGGGGTCCCCATTAAGGGTCCCTCCTTTTCCCCTTTGACTAAACCCAGAGGCATCCTTAACCCAGAGCCTCCAAATAAAAACCCTAATTAAGGAATATACCTTAAATCATATATTAGGGATCGTACTATAATTTAAGGTATAGTCCTTAACTAAGGGGTTTTGGAGGCTCTGGGAACACTAGACCCTAAACCCTAAACCCCTAAACCCCAAACCCAGAGGCATCCTTAACACTAAAATCCACGTGCCCTTAGGGCCCCAACTTCGATCTGGCGAAGTTTCGGATCAAGTGCCGCACCTCGCTGGGTTTGACAGAAAGAGTCTAAGAGGGCTGAACTTCGAACATTTAGGGCCGTAGAGAAAGGGTTTGGGGTTTAAGAGTTTAGCGTTTAAGAGTTTAAGGTTTAGAAAGAGGGCTGAACTTCGAACATTTAGGGCCGTTTGGGGGTTTATGGTCACAGGACTTAGGGCTCTGGGGGCTTGTGGGTTCTGGGGGTCTCAGACCAAGCTTCCAACCCCACCCGAAAACAACCCTAAGCTCTGACTAAACGCCTGCTTCAGGCTTTGAGGGCAGGGTTCAATAGCGTGACCGGTCTATTGCTTGTTCTCAACCCGTACAACACCCAAAAGCGAAAGCGCCCTACTTCCCCAAGACCCGAAACCGTAGAGAGTCGTCTTGCCCAAGTCCTTGGAGCCCAACTCAGCAATGGAGTCCGGGTGCTGTAGTTCAAGCC